AAAAAAAAAATTTGCAAATATTAAAATAATTGAAGTGTAATGAATCTATTAGCACCTAACAGCTTCTAACACCAAATATTTTTCAATTTTTAGATCTCAGAAACAAGAAGCGGAGACAAAAAACAAACCAAGTGCTAATATTAGCATTTGTTTTTTGTTTTTTTTTCTTTTGTTTTGAGGTGTCAAACTTACAATGATTGGCTCAATTGCCCCATATGTAAGTAAATTCCGACGGAGTTACCAGTCTAACGATATCATCGATCGACTAAACTACCAGTATACTGCACTCGTAATTGCCTTTGCTGCCTTCACACTCGCTGCAACTCAGTATGTGGGAAAACCGATACAGGTAACGTATTTTTTGCATTTTTCAACCAGTCCTTTATAATGCTATCGCCACTCAATGTAACCACTCTCAAACATATTTTCTTTAGTGTTAACTTTTTTTCCTATTGTGTTAATTGCTTTTTCGTCTTCGTATAATTCATGTTTAATAATTCTGAACTTGCTCATAGACTTTTGCTAAAATTTTCAACCACCCAACACTGGAGTGTGGGTTTGACTTTCATAGCATTTTACAAAAAAAAAAACCGTCTTTTTCAGCACTTGCGGTAGTGGGTACTGGTTCTATTCGGTAACAGTAATCGTAGAAATCTGTGAGGTTCAGGTCTATCTGTAACTTAAATTTTTTGCTTACGGTCTTTATGTTTCTTGGCTATTTTCTGATCTGCTCAAAATAGCATAATTACAGTGCCTTAGCTGTGCACGTAAAACTTACTGAGTCGTAAGGTCAAAAGAAAGTTATCCTGAGAAGCTTCTTTAAAAACGTACTCATTTATAAACATATCAATTAGATGCTAAAGATCTTTTCTGGTTAAGAGTTTCTTTCTACTGTTTTTTTTTTTTTGCTGGAAAGTTTATGTTATGGAAGCAGTTGCACTATAGGCACAGTTCCATTGGCAGAAATGCGCAAAAACAAGAACTAGCGCCTAGAAGAATCATGCTAAACGCCGTACAGTTACAAAAATATTTGCTATCCATTAAGCCGCTCATCGCCAGCCTGGCTGATTTTTGAGCTTAGAGGCTATAATAATCAAAATAAAATTTTAGTAACAACTTGTCGGGAATATAAGAAGTTCATAGACATGTCTGGAACTCTTGCTAGTAAATTATTCTAAGTTGAGAACCTTAGGTAGAGAAGGAGAAAATAGGTTAACGCTCATATAAGTGGTATTATTATTACAATCTAGTTTGGATAATTTCGTTTTGAAAGAGGTATTTACTATTCAGCATTATTTATGCTATTGTTCTGCAGTCTTCTACGTTTTTCTGAAGCAGTTTCAGGAAAGAGAAAATATGAATAATCTTCATAATCTAACTGTGGGTGACTTTAGTCTAACTATTCAAAATTTCAACTTGTCATAACAGCATTTTAACCGGTTGTATTGCTAAGGAATTTTTTACAATTGCTTGTTATCACAGTCTTGGACCATAGACAGTTTTCACACAAAATTTGACAGTAGCATACAGCTTAAAGTGAAAATTATGTTCACAACTGCGGGTGGTGCAATGGAACAGACCTATAGCATTTACTTTTTCCAAAATCTTCCCCTACCTAACCTCATTCATCTAATACTTATCATGGCATTTGAAGCAGTAGGGCTATTATTTCTGCGTTATAACTGTCTTAATGCTTCATTACGGCTTTTTATAATCTCTATATTTCCTTCTTTTGCTGTATTTTGTTTTATTGGTGTCAGATACTTACTTGAGCCAGTTTTACCTGAAGCTTAGTCGTGCCTCGCCCACTGTTTATTTATGTTAAAATTTTCTAAGCTATGCCACTTACTGAGAAAGCAAGCTGAAAAAATTGGTGTTATTTGAGCTAAAAAGGTATTTTTTAAAAGTTCTGTAGACTGAATTTTGTGAGGTTACATCGTGGTTGATAGAGTTGTCTTAATTTGAATATTTATCATTTCTGTTTCTTATCTTACCTATATAATTTTATTTTTTTAAACCAGTTAAAGTAATAAATAATAAAAATCTTCTGGACGCTGTGCAAATCAAAAATGAATGATATAGCAAAATTATTTTCAGTGTTGGGTGCCCGCACAGTTCACTGGCGCTTGGGAGAAGTAAGTACTTTGCTGGATTCATCACTAGTTTAGGTTTTCTTAGTGTGTGTAGACTTTTCGGATATTAACAATAATTTCTGAAACGTTTCATTGTTTCATCTTTCCTTTATTATAGCAAATAAAATTTTAGTTGACATTTATCTATTGTAAACAAAGTTTCTTCTTGAAACTTAATTTTTTCTTTCCTTATTTTTGTATAAAACATTTTGATTTTGATGCTTAACAGTACCGATATATCAATTATTCAGATATACGGAAACCTACTGCTTTATAAAAGGAAGTTATTTTCAACGTATTGGTGAAGAAATACCAGACGAATATGTTCTTCGAGAACGGAAGGTAAACTCAGAAAAAACTTTAGCTGAATATTTCAGGCTTATTCCTGAATTTGCTTAAATTATCTTTAGTTTAACGTTTGAAGTCAGTTACATGCTTTTTTTTTTTGATTTTTAAAATAGCCTTTCAGGAAATTCATTACTATCAGTGGGTGCCCATTGTTCTTGCGATACAGGCTTTTCTCTTCTATTTTCCGTGTCTTATTTGGAAGGCTTTAAATTTTAGATCTGGTAAGACAAGTTTTGATTATATGATTTATAAAAAGGGAATAATTAACTTTTGGGTGTTAACAAAAATTTGGTTTTGAAATTGGACTGCTTATAGCGTTTTTTAGGGAGCAAACAAGGTTCTACATACTTTCTTGACAATTTTTCAATCTTTTTTGTAACATTTTGAAGGTCTCAAAGTTTGCAGCTTCAGAAATAATCGTAACTGTGATTAGAAAAATGTCAGTGCTAGTCATTTAGCACCTCATAAATATTTTTTTTTAAATTTTAATTGCGAGATTTTTTTATTCTAAATCTTTTTTCGCTCAAAGCTGCATTTTTTGATCTTCAAGAAGTCGGCTTGGAATAAGATAGCTTTTCAAAAGGAAAATTATTAATATAAACCAACATTTGCGAATTACAAACCTTCTCTTTATTACTTTGGAACAATTTAAATTTTTCACTTTGGTTTTAAATAAACTATTTTTTCTGATATTATACCATTGTCTTTCTTTGATATCTTTCAATTTGTTTCCTTCACTTATGAATACTGTCTTTGCACTATTTTTTATCCGAGACAGGTCTAAAAATTGTCTTTTTGAGAACGACGGGGCTACTCCTTGCTTGAATCGCTTGGTACAAAAACTGGCAGTGGCTCATAGCCTTACTTATAATCTTATAAAAACTATTGAAGGATTTTATTTCACAGAAGACTCAGAAGACTGTTAAATTTGGCAGAAGAAAGTGAAGAACTGAGAAATTTTTTGACTGTTAAATGAGAACATCTTGGTAATATTTGCATATACTGAGTAGCGGAAAATGAAATTCTGTTGTGAGCGCAAACCATTATGCTAATTCTAAGCAAAACGTTCTTTCTCTACTAGATAATTGGACCTTATTACAGGCGTAAGTCAAAGTTTTTTAGTGCATTTGTCTTGTCTAAATACTTTCGTTCACTAACAAAATAAGGCTTTCCACAGACGATCTGTTTTATAAGGTTATTGATGCAATTTTTGAAGTTTATTTCTCAAGACCCTTCACTTTTTGGACTTCGCAACATCGCCACTGGCGTATTCATCGTTATTTCAAGTACCGTTGTTGTCTTTTAAAATTTTATGCTATTGAAATGGGTGAGTTAATATTTTTTGACTGTCGGTATATATTTCAAATTGGAGCAGATAGTGACGATATTATTAGTAAGCTTAATTATCGGTACTCCTCGCTGATATTGCTGACTACGGGAATGACGTTAGCTGGAATGCTTTACATAAAACAGCCAATTCAATGCTGGTTTCCAGCCGAATTTACTCTGCAAGTACATTAGCTTTTTCCTAAAAAATTTTTCACAGTTATTATAAACAAAAATGAGTTTATTTGCTTTTTAAATATTTTCTATGGTTGTAAAAAAATTTTGTTAAGTTTCCCATAGTAATTCAAACTTTTTAGATAAGCTTTTTAAATAAAATATTTCAGTTTTTTTCCAAATCGCAACTGCCATTTCTTGTTAAGTTGATCTCAAATTTTCTTTCAATTCTTCTTTTCCATTACCATCTATTTTGTGGCTGCTGCATTATTCGTCATGAGTAGTTCTTGTAGTGGGAAAATTATGCAGAAAGCTTTTGTTTTGTACATGGTTCTTACTTCGTCAAAGACGCCACTGATCAGTCTGCTGACAATCTAGACGAAGACTGCATTTTTGACCGATCTAAATTTATTGGGTTCTATCAGTGGCTACCTTTGCTTTTAATACTACAAGCATTCATGTTTCTCATCCCTTCATTTGTATGGCAAATATTCAGTGGAAAATCTGGTAAGTAAAAGAAGATTGTTGATTATTCTTTTCTTTATAACATTTCTCCATGACATCGGTATGGCAGCAGATGGTCAACAGCAAATACATTTACTCTGAAGACGTAGCATCGTTCAAAGCCGCTTCATACGGTTTACAACGGACGAATTTTTTCGACCTTTAGTCCAGTAGTATTAATGGTTACAAATGCAACGGTGCTTTGAAAAGAAAAAAGAAAAAAAGAGAGCAACGCAACCATAATTAGCCTTATAGTAGTTTCTTTCAAATCTTTTTCTACGATACTTGCCGCTTTTAGTTCTTGCTTAAGCACTAAAAGAATTTTTTTAACTGGATATATTTGTATATAAGACTATTGAATTTTTAATTGTTTTAGGCATCAATGTAAAAGGTGTTTTGAACTCAGCAGCACAAGTTAAGAAAAAATTTGACAAAAGTTCAAGGGCATCACAGGTTCAAACTGCAGCAAACCATCTTGAAGAAGCCATGGAAATGCAGAAGGAATTGAAAACTGGTAACTATTGCTAATAATATTTTCTCCTTTATTTCAATACTGTTAATGTTTTTCAAAATTGAATGAATGTTTTTATTAGTTAAAGGAGTCAATGGGTGGCTTTCTCAATAATTTAGAAGTGTGATCTGTGCCGACACACGTCTATAATAACCAGGTCCGTAAATCCGTTGAGGTGTAGGCGAGTATCTAGATATGCGCATTTGTACCGGAATGATGTGCGAGCGTGACTTTGTTTGTCATACGTACTATAAGGGGGAGTGATAAGTGCTGTTCTTTATATGTCTTGGCGGCAAAAAGTCATTGCGCTTCCTTACGCATTTCGTTTCCTTCAGTCGTTTATGCACAATTTTGCGTTGTGCAAACCCGTAGAAAATTAGGCGCATTGGCTGTTAAGAAATGCGTTTAGCGCCTCAGTTTTACCAAGGGAAACTGGTAACGTTTGATTTAAATTTTTCTGGATGGTCTGCATGGCGGGCCGAGTAAGTAAGGGAGCCAGGTGGGTGCCTAGTTAATGGCGCTCTTACTGGTCGCTTGGTTGTGAGGCAGGCGAGATGTTGAGGTTAGGGGTTTGGTTTCTGCATTAGAGATGTATAGTTGCAGTGTTTGGGATAGATGTGATGAAGTAGTTGTTTCAGGTACTATGGATGTATTGCATTTCAGTAAAAGACGTGGTATTTATTTGGTTGCCTTATACCTGGTTTCAAAGGTATTAGCTTAATGATCACTATTGTTAAATACTTTTTTTGTAGATAATAATGAGGTCCACAAAGCATATACCGCATAACTTACGCTTGTTGACTTGTTCTAAAAAAATTTGTTTGCAGTTACTGTATGTGATTAATGCAATGTTACAACTCGTGATTTTGAATATGTTCCTGGGACCTGAGTACAAACTTTGGGGATATGGGATACTAATGGATTTGTTGAATAACAAAATGTGGAGGGAATCAGGTCATTTTCCACGAGTGACGATGTGTGATTTCCATGTAAGTTAACCAATTTAAGAGATAATGTTTCAACAAAATTTGCTTCACTTGATCTGCAAATCATTAGCTTGCCGAATAATTTAATTAAAATTTCTTTTAATATCAGGTCCGTGTGTTGGGTAACATACATCGATGGACGGTACAGTGTGTCCTTATGATCAACATGTTCAACGAAAAAATTTTCATCTTTTTATGGTATCTTAAATTTTTTTTTTTTTTAAATTTTATTATTTTAATAAAGCCAGCATTTCTGCAGATATGCAGGATTTGGTATATCAAATCAGTTGAAGTTATTGATTTTGTAAACAATTGTACAGCTTAGTAAGGCTAGTAGGGAACACGACAGCAGATTAAGAAAAATTAGCCTGGCAAATGGCAGACGACCTTTCATTCTTTAGTCGAATGACGCAAATACCTGTCCGTGTTGTTCAAATAACAAATTTTTGGAAATGATGGTTGGTGCTTCTAAACTTTTGAGTTTTTTAGCGGTTTTTCGATCAAATTTGAATTTAAAAAAGTTTTTTTGTCGACTAGAGCTTGTTTGCCACGTACCTTTTCTCGTAAAAGTCAAACAAAGCAAGGAAAACAAATTTTTTGTGCAAATGGCATTATAAAAAATCTTTCCATTCACAGCTGCAAATTTTTGAAATCTCTTAGCCAAGACAGTGTTTAATCTTTTTTGGCCAATAGTGTTTGGGTTTACACACCGAAGAGTTGTTTTAACAATTTGGTGGTTTTCTAACATTTTTTGCAATTTACACTCATTTTTGAATTTCTAGAGGTTTTCATAATTAACGACACCAAAAAAGAGTCCTAAAGCTAGTCATTTTGGTTCTGCAGGCACAACTTTAGGAGTGAGATGTTTTTAAGCTTTCAAGTTCAACAGCGTTTTAGACTTATTCTAGTCTAATATGAAGGAACTTAGGATTGTCGACAGTAACTATAGTATCTTGGTAGGTGGTGGCTAATATTTGTTGGAGTGCTTTCGATCCTGTCATTGCTTTATTATCTGTTTGCACTGGTATTCAAAGGAAACCAGAGATATTTTGTGGAACGGTATCTACGATGTAGTGGAGCAGTTTCTGCAACTCCAAATCTCCGAGAAAACGGACAACTGTCAGATTTTACTGACAAGTATCTAAGACCCGATGGAGTGTTTTTATTACGGCTAATTGAGGTAAACTTCAGCTTAAAACGTCCTTTTTTATTGCTTTTGAACCTAAAACGATACTACTTCTAGAAACTTCTTTTCAGACTAATGGAGGTGACCTTTTAGTGGGAGAGATCACCACAGCTCTTTTCGAACGATACAAAACAAAAACTGAAAACAGTTTTGCTACACTGCCAGCCACGGAAAGTCCAGCAAGCACCAGTCCGTTGCAGCGATAAAGGCTCGTGGACTAATCGACCTAGAACTGACTCAGTGAGAATATAGGTGTTTTCAGATTTTGTGGCTCATCCTTATCGCATATGCCTTCCAATTCGGAATGTTCTTCTCAACTGCCTTAGCTCACTGCTGCTTTTCTGCTGTAAATATTAATTGCTGAGAAAACCTTTCTAATCAGAAAGTTTAGGTTCAGAAAAGAATATAAAGTTCATTAAAAATAAATTTATGCACACTCGTAAATGAATTTGATAAATTTTTTCTTTCTTCTCTTGAAATTTGGTAAAGTCACGAATTTTCCATTTGTACAACAACATTCTCACTCTGCTTACCCAAACTTACTCAGCCCTAACAGAAATTCTGCAACTGAGAGCTATAAAGTACTTAAAGTACAGGAAAAACAGTAGTTTCTTCAACGGAATCGTATTAGAAATTTATTAACGGTGCTTAAAATTTGAAAGTTCACATCTTATATCAAGTTTAAACCATACAGTAAACTACTTATACGTCATTTGGAGTTATCGAATTGCTATAAGTGATTTAACACTATAGTCCCTGAACAAGTGCCAGAGCAATTTTAGAATAGAAATAAATGACAACTGAAACTTTGCCTCACTAGTTAGGCACATTGCAAGAATATTTCAAAATTTATCCTTTGTACGCTGTTGGATTTTAAGCTAAAAACGATATGCGGTTTTACATATTATGGTAAAGTCTAGTCTTTCTGAAAAAGTGAAGGAAATAGTTTAAAAGTATACCCTACTTCACTTCGTGTGGCGAAAGAGCTGTAAGATTTTCCAACATGAAATAATCTGACTGTGCGTACCGATTTAGATGGCGTTTTGTCATGTTAACTGTGCCGTAATCTAATACCCAGTCTAGAAAGCTCACAAAAAGACTCCTAGCAAAAACTTCTAACCTAACTCGGGGACTTTTACTTATTGGAAGGAAGGACCTGGGAATGATTTGACGTTTTTCACAAGGGCAACTGAATGCCAGTTCACAAAAAACTGAAAAACTTGTCAGTATGTCATGTATATATTCTTGACGCAGGGGAGGTATTTAGTCTGTGCAGACTGTTGTTGGCCTGTCAGAAATATGTGTAAATTACAGTTTGTCATTTCCAAGTAAAATTTTTCGCTAATTTAGAGCATTACTGACGCGTTTTGTACTAAAGCACCTCATTAGGATAGTAGACCGAGATAATAAAAGGAATAAAAGATAGGGCCAACACTAGATATTTCAGAAAAGGAAAGTAACGAAACGTAAGTGTCGTCGCTGCTGCTTACAATACTGATGCCACGACAATTACTGTTTTCCACTCCGATGACTAAAAAACTTTAATCTCGTCAATCGACACAGAAAAGGAAAAAATTATGAAAATTTCATCTGCAAATGAACACAAAATCCTCCTCTTTAAGAAGCAAGTCGTGCAACTTTCTTGGGTGAGTGTAGCACTGAACTGCAAAGTCATCAAGAGATAGGCTTCCTCTGCAGCTTCCCGCAATTCTAAAAAAATCATGAACTGTTTCATTCAACCAATAACTTTGATAAGAAACTGATAGACCACTGAAAGTGAGAACAAACTTCCTTGTTTCCTCTTCTTTCGGTAAGGCTACTGGGTACAAGTTAAGCTTCCTAACAAATCCATGAAATATACTGAACTGAATTAATCGCCTCTCATCAACACCGTATTTTCTTGGATTCATTTGTTTACACCAATCTTCCAGTTTGACTCCTACCTAAAAAAAGATCTATAGTTTTAATACAAGACTCCTCGTTTGTAAATACAACGTATCATTCTTTTTTTAGAATCTTACAAAAGCAGAAAAATCTCTCCCCATCTACCATCTTCGCAGTGAAAGAAATAATGGCACAACGAACTCGCAAGCCTGCATACAACCGGAACACGTCAGCAAACGCTGGCTTCTCAACCACTCTCTCACCATAAGAATTATGAATAGCGACAAACTCCAGACATTCCTGAAAAAAACATTTTTAGAACCTCTCATAGTGTCATTTCTGAAACAATGGTGCTCTCCATGCACATTAATTTGCAAGTAAAACTTGGAACGAAATTTTCCAGTATAAACTTTGACCTCAATTAAGCTTTTGTTATTGTAGAAGTCATGGAGGCGATCAGTTGCAATATAGGTATTGAAATACATGAACAAAGGCAGTAAACCGACAACGCCATAATACTGGAGGTTTCGAACGCAGCGAGCAACCAAATCAGGGTCTATGTCGACCTCTTTCGCAATTTCTCTGATACAAAGTACTCCATCTATTTTAGCACAAATCTGAATAGTTTTAAAGTAACCAATTCAAAAATGAAAGACGTTTTCCAATCACAACCAAATTAATATATTCCGAAAACAACTTTCGGTAACCTACTTTCTGCGACAGAACATCCATTTTAGTCAACTGTTCAGGATCTTTCAGGGGAGGTACCCTAGCAAATATAGGGACCATTTGCGGGCTCACCTGAATTTGATAAAAAATAATCATTGATTAAGACTGCTCACTGAAAGCCCTATAACTTCAAACACTCCTGAACTTATGTAGACACCGAAGTCCAACCTAAGAATTGTAACTGAGCAGAACCTGTTTCCATATAGTGCTTTCATAAAGACCAAAGGCCTAACAAAATGCGAAAAATGCAGTATATAATCTTAACAGCGAAGTTTAGAAATCTTTAACCGCACCCTCCCTGAGGAACTTCAAAACCTGATTTTCCATTCTACAGTATAACTTTTGAAGTATCCCTATGTGAAACAACAAATCAAGTTCATTTGATCGGCAGAGTTCAACAGCAAAGTATGTATATTAATAAGGATTGTCACTCATCAGATGTTACTTTCAGATGCGAGTGCTGCACCTTTATTTCCCTTATAATTTTACTTTTGGCTCCAAATACAACTTACTCACGCTAAAAAAAAATTCTGTTAGCAAAACAAGAGGGAAACTAAACCAACCATGGGGGGTTCTACTCCGTAAAAAGAAGGACACAGCTTTAAGTAAACTGTAGTTTCGTCTGTCACGATAATTTTGCACTCTCCTAAAATATTATTTATCAGACACTTGAAAAAACCGTTGGGAGAAAAAATTATGCGAGAAAAAGTTGACCAGTTGAATTTAATCCCTTGAATATACCAGACATCAGTGGTGGAAGCTGATCCTTATGTTTAGTCAGAAATTCATGGTCCTAAAAAATTTAAGCAACTGCCAATAAAATGAAGAGTGAAAAGGGAGTATTATGATGAGCTGGAATAAACGTAATTACTTTTTACAAGTAATTACAAAGTTTGTACTAGAGGCTTTGTGTAACATATAATCTTACCGTTTCCAGTTGAGTCAAATAATCATTACACTTTTGAACCATTGGCTCATACATGCAATCAATCTTGCTACTTTTGTGTACAATAAAGCAAAGGTTGAAGATATAACGCCCACGAGGATACCGAGAAGCTTCTGAAAGAAGCACATTTCACTAATTTTCTGGAAGAAACGTGTTGTACATGTTGTTGGGTTGGTTTTCTGGAAGAAAGGTTGTGAAAAAACTAGCAGCAAAACAAATCCAACATTATTCAGAAACATACCCAGTCCTCGCGGATTACCCATAACTTTATAGACTTTTCCATCGTCGTTAATAACGTGATTTACTTTCACAAGGCGATTAAATAAGTCTGGTTTAGGAATTATAGCACTGGAGAACGAGTCAAACTTCTTTTTTGAAAATACAACGCTAGGAACCTAAAGCCGTTCCAGAAAATCCAGCGATAAATGTTACAAAGTTTCATAAAAAACTGAATTTTGTCAAAAAATTTTTAATAAATGTAAGTAGCAAATAAGTCAGTAGATGCAAATTACTATTTACCTGATATGTTAAAACAGGTCCCAAATCAGCATCAAACTCTGCAAACATAACTCCGACTAATTTCGGAACAATAGATCTTTCGCTATGGTAAAAAGTTGACGTAAAATTTAAAGAGGCCATAGCAACAGTTACAAATCTCTAAAAGATTCTAAAAAATACCTTATAAGATCTTCGAAAACAACTCAATTTAAATTGCCAGCAAGCTATTTTAGGAAAAACAAAGTAGTAAAAACAGCGCCAGAACTGTCTAATAATCTCACCTCACAACTTTCAAACCACTTTACCGCTCTTTGCCCTCTTGTACTTCAGTTGATTTAATTTATATATGATAATGCCAAATCCAATGAAAGCAAAGGCTCCGAGAAAAGCCCCAAACACGCAAGACAGCGGCCAGCGCTGAAATAAATTCAGTATGAGAAGCAGATGCTAATAAATCGAGTATCACAGGTGTAGACATCAATCAGCTACTCGTATCTAAATTATATTTAAAAATAGATGTCCAAATAAAAAACATGCCTGCCACCACCTATCCCAATCCAGCGGAATAAAACAAGCTCCAACCCAAGCTCCTAAAACGGCACCTACCGAAAAAGACCCTGCAGCAAATTCTGAGAGATCGACTTCTTCCGACGGAGGACTGTAACATGCAAAATTAAAAAACAAAATTTCATCGGAACAGGCTAAGCAAAAAATCATTTTCACCTCGGCCAAGTTTCTCGCACTGCGTCCAAAAAGTAATCAAGTCTGTTTAAATCAGAAAACGCAATAGCTAAAGGGAGAAGACTAAGGAGCGATAAAGTCGTGGCGAACACAAACGTTGCAGTAAAATGGCTAAAATGTAAAAGGCGCAGTTTTTAACAAGTTATAAGTACTGCAGTTACTGTAATTCAAACAACCTAAATGAATTGTCAATCTTTAGTTTACCTGAGAAAGGGTGCGCCAAACAAAACAGCTACGACATAATAAACGGGAATCCCGACAAACACAGCTTTAACAGCCCGCGAGCAGCACCTCGCCGCAGATTCTTTTTTCATACAGTTGCAATTATGAAAGCCAGACAATAAGCACTTACATAAAACCCTTAGAAGTATGCGACGCCTGATGCGACTGTTACCTTATCATCTATAGCCTTTCTATAGAACAGAAAAAAAAACCATCAACGACCCCACCAGCCAAAACTGCTTGGTTTGGGACGCCAATTATATTACTTGCATAAATTACGAGTCGTCACCGGCTAGTTCAAGTACCAAGTTTGACAAAGTTTAATGAATCGTTAGAAATCTCATTTATAACAATATATCACAAACCTAGGAAAATTCAAGTAACAAATGGTAAAAATTCACATGATGTCTCAGCAATCCGTCTATAACTCGACACTAAAACAAATAAGAAACAGAATCAAAAAAAAAAATAAAGCTGCAAACAAAACTTCAAACAAAGGGTGCTTGGAAATACATGACAAGGCAGCAGAACCCGCATGCAATTGCAAAAATAGCATCAAAAAAATGGAACAATGACAACCAGAAGCCTTTCATAAGGTATCTAAGAATTCATAGCTAAGATACTTTACAACGTAGCCACAATTTACATACAAACCTCAATAACCACAATGAATCTAACCTATATATTTTCTTCAACATTTTTAAACCTTCGAAACCCGTAGTATTCCATTCTCAAATTTTTACAGAAAATCTTACACACACAAAGCTTTCAGAACTAATTAAAGCTTGAGTTGAAACTCTGGATCCTCAAAAATAGTTCTCTTTGGTTTCAGATCCCTCTTCTGGCCATAATTATGTAAAAGTTTGAACAAGCCTGTCCCAATGGTTATAGGAGTTCCCATTATAATACTCTCACTAACGCCTACAATCTTATCTTCTTGTGAAAAAAAAGCAGCTTCATATAAATGATCAGTTGTTTTTTCAAAAGAAGCAAGTAGAAGAACCGACTCCTTCATTTTTACAAGGCCACCACGAGTTATGCCCAGTACTTCACCTCTAAAAAATCAAGAATCAAAACAAATAATTCTCTGAAAACATAAGAAAATTTCTTATCTTTTACATCCATTAGATTCTTAGAACCAAGGAGAAAAAACTGCTGCAGAAAAGTTACTGTCAGGAACGGTTTTTGGAATCTTGCAAATGGGTTGAATATATTTACGAAGTACCTGTACGTCATTAGATCAGCAAGCAGCATTACATGTCTTCTATCCAAACCGATACCATGAGATTCCATAGTAGAAAGGATTTCAGAAATTATAGAAACTCGTGCAGCCTCTATCCCAAGAACCTTTAAATTTGGTAAGTAAGAAAAGTACAGTTTAATAAAAAAAAATCTAGGACACATGTGGCGGCAGCTAAATTTAACCAGCAAATTATGCACCTCGCCAGAAAGAAATGATAATTTTTAAAGTCTAGTGGGTAAAGAGCAAGAATTTTTAAAATTGAACACGCTCACGTCAGCAACTGTTAGAGCGTTGTTGAAATAAGTTCTTCTGCCATCAACTCCCATTGTAGCCATCACAGATTTATAATCGGTTCCCTCCACTAACAACTTATAAGAATCTCCCTTTTTCTCATCCGCATGTATCACACAGCGCACTACTCCAGGCAGTCCTATTAAAAACTAGTCAGATCATAAAATTTAAATAAAGTCCCGCCATAACAGTTAGGACTTTTTTGTTATTTTCAAAAAAGATCACACTAGTACTGCACTATTAGATAATAAATAGTTAAGGAAATCACCCTTCACAACAACATTCCCAAGATTATGCTTCAGGTACTGAACGGCCATCATCTTAGAACATTTTGCAAGTTCAGGAGGTCGAATCACCATAATTGTCTTACCAAGTATTGTAATCTGGAAATAATGAAGAATAACAAAGAAAATTAAAAAGTACAACCAAGCATTAATGATTAGATAAATTTGTTGTTACCAAAAGAAGAAACTAAGTTTGAAATATGCCATTTGACTACCAGTCAGAAAAGTAGCTTTCACCTGGTTAATTTTAACTGGAACTGGAAGCTTTGTTGCACAAATACTGGCTGCAATGGAAGACATGGTGACTTCCAGTTGTAGAAGTCGAACTCGCTTTGCGTTAATTTTCACCAATATAAAGCAGTCTGACGGTAAGTATACTTCTTCAATATAATCACAGATCTCACCTAGAAGGAAAACCATCTTGCAGAAGCAACATTTTCAAGACTGTCAATCATATAAAGTGTATATCCCGTTACCAAGAGTGGTCTTCTCAATTCGTGCTTTAACTCTTCTTGCCAAATCTTGGTCTTTCTCATCCATCAATGCAGCTGTTATGATAGGAGTAGATATTTGTTTGACACCATTAATAATTTCTTTTATGCGAGGAACACCCTTAACATTCAAAAGTTAATCCAGCACTTTACGTGAGAAATGCTAAAGAAACATCGCAAAAACTAAGGGAAAGCACCTGCGTAATGTTCATGGAAGCAACGCCGGCAAAATGGAACGTCTTTAAAGTCATTTGCGTTGAAGGTTCACCTAAAAAAGGCAAGCACTTTCCGGAAAAATTGTAAACAGTTCACAACCAAATCAGCTGAGCAAGTGAATAAAAAAATACCAATGCTCGTGGCTGCTATAGCACCAACCGCCGTACCCGGTTCGGTAATGGCCCTCTTCAACTTGTAGGCACAAAGTTCTACAAATGCCACTGCCTGAGAATGAGAAAGGCAATGAGACCGGATCTGTATCTTTCGAAACTCCAATTGCTGCTTACACTTTAAACATCTATTCTGAA